GAGAGAAGAAGGGAAAAAGTTGCATCTTTCTGTACGTTTGCACATACTAATTTAGAAAATGGGCTCCCATATCATCCACTGATTAGTAATTTTTATTTTCATTTCATAAATTACTATGCAGTTTTGTTCACTGTGAGTATAATCTGTATTTAGTGATCGCAACATGCTTACGCCACTGATTTCTGTTCCATCCAAGCTGACAGAGAAGTTATTTGATAATGCACATATTGGTATCTTTAATTGCAAAAATGTAAATTTGAAACTTGTATAATGTTCTTGTGCTTTTGAAATAAAATATCTTGTATATGTATATTTAAATGAGAAATAAAGTAACTTCTCAGAGATTATTCAGCCTTCCTTGGAGGCGCATTTTACAAGTCTTTTCAGGAGTCAGCATCAAAAGGGGAATGTTGGTAAATGAGGCACAATACCAATTCCGGCAGTTCCTGCTGCAATTCGTATTGTAGTTGTGCTAATTAGTGCGTGTTTTCTTACTTATAGTTCACTTGAAACTTATCCTGATGGTTCTAAAAGAATCCCACACTCTCTTTATGTAAGAAGTCTCAATATATTTTTTTAAGGTTCTCAGAGGAATGTGTTCTCTGCTGTATTACCTGGTGGATACTCAGCCCATTTGAAGCTGAAAGCTGGTGGTACCTGTTTAATGTCAGGCATTTCATATTTTTCATTATTTATTAGGGCTGAGTAAGCAGCTGGGCAGTCTTTAAACAAAGAGGGGACAAGAAGTTCTGGCAACTTCCTTAAGTTTTAAACTGCTGGCTGCCCTTACTGCTTTGTTTTAGCTTTAGTTACCTTCAGCATAAAGTGTGAATGCTGATGGTGTTTGATTGCTCTTAATTGAGCAAATGTTTGTTTTTGTTTGGGTTTTGTTTTTTGTTTTTGTTTTTTAATATCGAAAAGGTACGAGGTACATGTAGGTAGATGAAAACCTACTCACAAAAATGTTCTTAAGAGTATTAAATTTAAATTTAGAGGGGGGGGGAAAAGCTATGGCATTATTTGTATGGTAGCAAGACTCTCAAGGTGTAACATGCAAAATTATAACGGTTTGAATAGCTGAAATCCACTTAATTTTCTAGACCATATCCTTGAAAAAAAAATCTGTTCTAAACATCTTTTTTTCTACGTGCACAATGAACTGAACCTAAATTAATCGCTGAATCCTTTTAACCAAACGGCGGTATTTATTTGACATTCATTTTTATGATCAGTGTACAGTGATTATTGTGAAAGGTAATTAGCTTTAAAGGACGAGCATCAGAATTGCAGCTTTAACAGGAACTGCCATAGTCCCTTCACCATAAGCTGAACACTGAAACTCTTTATTTTACAAAACAAAACAAACAAAAATACTTTCCTAGAAATGTGTTTTCATTTTGTTTCTTACATAGGTGAGTTCTATTTTGAAGTTTGTTGCACAAATGAATTATTATTAATTCAGGCTGGATTAGGCATTAATTACAAATAGGATAAGAAGTGTCCCACAAATCCTATTTATTTCTGTATCTGAGCAGATGCTGCAGCTTATAGGCTTGGCTCGCTAATGCCATCCTTGTCTTTATGAATTACGGAGCATTAACGATGGTCTGTGCTGCTGCCTGCGCTTGCTTCCTTGATAGGGTGGCTGTAATATTAAATACACCAGGAAATCCAAGCAACTGGGCCAGGTGCTATAAAGCCAGGTATGGAGAGTGGTTTCACTGTCTGAGGAAAGTAATAAGGCAAAGTAAATAAGAAAACTTTTATTGAAAATGTATCATCAGACAGTGTATGGCTGAGGCTTTTAGCTTCTTACGTAGTATTTGCTCTCACAAATAAATGAGGTAAAATGAGGTGTTATACTTTAGTAATAGGTCTGTATTGAGGGGGCCTCTAAATGCTGTGTACAGAACAGCAGTTGTTTGAGAGGTAAAGGTAAATTTATCAAATATTAACTACTGGCAATGTGTTATTTTCATATGAAGTAAGAAATGTGTGCACTTGGGGATGTATACTGGACACTGGACACTTGTGCTGCTGCTCCTCACACAAATGTGTTACAGTGGTTGCCACCAAAATTTCTGGATCTTTCACAGGGACATTCAGCCTGGATGCTTGCTTTAGGTCACGCTTTGCACATCTATTTTTCAGCGTAGACTTACACTGCAGATCTTGTGAAAGAGGTCTCAGCTAATCAGAATTTGGAATACCAGGTGGTAGGAGGATAAGCAGCAAAGAGAAAGAAAATACAGCTACGGGTGAAGTTGTCGCACGGTGGAAGGATCGCACCCCATCTGGCTGAGGAATTGAGGCAAAAAACAGAGACCTTGGGGGAGGTGTTTGTTAATGAGGGCCAGAATGTGGAAAACGCCGCGGAGAGCTGTGGTGAGGAGCGGGCCGGCGCGTGAGGCCGGCAGCGGCAGCAGGGAGGGAGGCCTCGTGCGGCCTGGCCGCGTCGCTGCGCTCGCCTGTGTGGTAACAGGGAGGATACTTTCTAATCTGTGTGCTCGTGCAGGCGTTTGCTGCACACCCTCACAGCATCTTTTCTGTGGCATTAATATTCGCTATTTAGTTTGGGGGATATAATTTATTCTTTCACAAAATTAGGTAAGCGTAACTATATACAGAGCACAGAGGAAATAACTGCATTTAACCTAACTGATACATGCTGGGTATATCAACTGTGACACCAAAGTGTTAACAATGATAATAGTGTGGTGCTTGTTTTTGCACACAGGAAGCAACAAAAATGAAACTAAAACTGTTTTTAGCTTCCAAAGGGGATGATGCTTGTAAAAATCAAATTACTTCAGATGATGATTTTTTTTTTGCTTTTTAATTGTTACTTAAAATTTCTGGTAGAAATCACAGACAAAAATAAAATAATATGTATTACCATCTTCCCAAACTGAATAAGCCAACAGATCTGTCTGGGAAAGCCCGGGAATCCTCATGTGCAAATTATAAATTCTCACCTTTAGGCAAACATGTATGAAACAGTGGTGGTGTCTCTTTGGT